CCACAGTACCATCAAGGCTCAGTAATTTCTACTATACAGTCATTACTCCGGTTTTTTCTCCACAATTTCAGTAATTGGCATTTCTTGATTTATCTGAGGTTTCCACTTGTGGCTCGAGGACTGCGTCATCTTTATGATTCGGTTTCTCACCATACTGGGGACTTTTTTTTCTCTAGTTACTGTTGTTTCTGACCTTGGCACCACGTGACCACGTCACCTACTACTAGGCTCGGGGACTAAGTGGGTACACTTCACCTTGCGGTGAACGTGTGGCTAGTGTTGTAAAGCTACGCTCAAGAACTAGTTGCCCGCTCAGCCAGTCTTTTAGGCTCTCAAAATTTGACCCTGGCACCACGTGACTACATCACCTACTACTAGGCTCAGGGACTACAGTGTATACACTGCACCTTGCGATGCATGTATTGATCTTCGTGTCTGATGAATGTCTCCATGTCTCTGAGTACCCAGATGGCCCCCATCCACTCCTCGTTGAATGGAGTCTAAGTGGGTACACTTAGTTCAAAGTGAAGAATTTTCAAAATTTGAACTTGAGTTCCTTACATCCTTCTGGCAAGCCGTGCTTGGTTGACTCCGAGCACTGCTGGTCGGCTATACTGGTCGGCCACATTTACTGCTGCTCGGATCATTAATAACGCTGGTCGGAGCTCGGTTCTTGCTGCTCGGCAACAGATTCACCTGCTCGGACAAGCTCAAGACGACGTTACTAGATGGATACAAGGTACTCGGGGCTAGCTGTGGGGGTACGACCCTGGATGCCCATGGCACAAGATATGGGCAGCGTCACCAGGGATGGCCCAGCCCTTAAGATGAAGCCTTGCAGAGCACGGTGCTGCTCGGCGAGCCCCGTAAGACACCGGGAAGATATCCTGAAGATACGACGTAATCTATTAGGATATGTTACGATCCCATGATTCCTGTAATCTGTTATTACTTACCGGTTATCTCCTAGATCTAACCGACTTGTAACCCTACCCCCGGCTATATAAGGCGGGTAGGGGACCCCCTCAAAACACACGCAATATCAAATGATAGCCAATACAAACCGACAGACCACGGGAGTAGGGCATTACGTCGTGCTGACGGCCCGAACCTGTCTAACTCTTGTGTCTCTATCGCCTTCTTGTTCTTGATTACATGCACCTCTGCCTATCAATCTACCTTCGTGGGATACCCCTTGGAGGACTACCGATGATATTCTATCGACAAGCTATGTCTTCTTTGCGCAAAGTTATTGGAGTTTGAAATGTGCCTTCCTTCATCTTTGATTTGAATTCATCTCATGACTTGCCCAAATTGAATTGAGAATGTCCTATGGGGTTAGTCCAACAAAATATCCAGTATCTACTACATCATACTATCGACTCAAAAATCAACCTAGACACCACGTCTAATTTGATTTAGGAAGGTACTAAAACCTTTGGAAATAAGATCAACACTCCTAAACTAAGCACCATGCTTAATTTAAAAGATGTATGAACATACCCCAAACCTTAAGCATACTATAGTAAACAAAGGTGGCATGAAAGCATTATAGAGATTTATTCAAATAGAGATGAAAGAGCATGATTATTATCTAGCAAATTGAGCATGGCATAAGAGAAGTCCATCCCCCATGCTTGAATTTTGCAAATGCAAAATCAAGTTTGGATGGATGTGATTAAATGTTGCATGATAATTTGTTGGACATACCTGGAGTCATCATCGTTCATCCTTTTGCTTCAGACCTAGAATGGTTAGTGAAAAAATACCCGCAGGAATATTTTCACAATTGTATTTCTATACTCATTTCACAAGGACATCACGGCAGAAGGTGAAAACTCATATTATATCCCGAGAGTGCTTGCTTTAGGGCAAAAGCTCGTTCTTGGGAAACCTTCAAATTGTGTTTCAAGTTAGTGAAGTTGTTTCCCCTTCAACACCAACCTTTGTGTGCCTATCTCAAGATTCACACAATGAGATCTACAATATTTATGATAAACATATGCATCTACAACCACCCTTTTAAAGTTTTTATGAACAGGAAGTACGAGGGGGTTGAAGATCTCGTGTGTGGCAAAGTTGGAGAGACCAATTGATTCAGGAGATTTCTCATGCGATCATGGATTTGATGAGGTGTTCATGAAATAACTCCCATGCTCGCTGATGTTATCTTCCTGCTCCAAAGTTGTTTCTTCATGAATGTCTATAGGCGAAAACATTGTCTCCATCATTCCATGCCTTTGACATTCATTGGACATTTCGTTGTCCAAGATTTCCCTTAGATTGGTGACTCTCGCATTTATCTCGTCTAAGGCTTCCTCCAAACTTAGATGAGTTGTGTTTAATAAAGAGATTGATTTACTATTTGAATCTAAGCCAAGTTTGGATTCTACCCATAAGGCTTCATCCTTGTCCATCCATTCTTTAACAACGGCATATGAGTTCTTTATACATTCCAGCCATTGTCATTACTCTTTTTGGTCATCCTTGTGATCTTCATGACTCCTATACTTTTGTTGTCTTAGTGGATTTCTAGGGTCATTATGAGATTTAGGAGAAAGAGTATAAGAGGGATCATTGGGATCAAGGATGGGTTGAGAGATGGGTTCAGATAAAATATCTAATGTGGGCATAGAAGGGGAGAGAATAGGATTGACTTCTAATTGGCTTGGCTCTCCTTCTATGGTATCAATAGACATGCCATCGTCGAATTCTTCCCAATGTCCTACATGGGAATAAGGACGCTTCCTAAGAGGTTCCTTCTTGAGAGGATTTGAATTATATTCGCTTGAAGGTCTCTTATGAGAATTTAATGTTCTCCCAAAATCAGCACCAAGGAGATCATCCTTAATTTCAACAAGGATTTCTAAAGGTAGAATTTCTTCTTCCCTTGGAGGATTTTGGGGTATTGATGGTTCGGGATTGATAGCTAAATCTTGGGATTGAAGTGGTTGTGATTTGGCTATCAAAACTTCCTCTTCTTGATCGGGAGATGATTCCTTCTCTTCCACGAGAAGTTCATTATGAATGCTAGTGCAGGGAGTGATTCCACTAATTCTATTAAGCATAGACCTTGCTTCACTATCAAACAAATGAAGAAAAGCTCATCTAGAGGCTAAATCAAGGGATTGCGCAGAATCCTTGCTAAGACCCATATAAAAATGTTGAAGGAGCATCAGGTCTGAAATGGCAAGGTCCGGGCCAGTGATAATGAGACTATTAATACGTTCCCATGATGTACCAAGAGATTCTTCTTCTAGTTGTCTAAAATTTAGAACCTCTTTTCGAAGGCTAACTACTTTAGAGATGAGAAAGAAACATAAACAAAATTTAGAGCATAACGTTTCCCAATCTCCTTGCATACTTCCTATGGTTTGACTATACCATGTTTTAGCTTTTCCCATCAAAGAGAACGAAAACAACTTCCATCTTAAGGTCTTGTTAGACATGCCAGCAATACACAAGCATGCACAGGTCTGCTCAAACTCTCGTAGGTGTGAGTATGGGTTTTCATCGCCTTCTCTCGAGAAGGATTGATCCCGAATCAGTTTCATAAGACACGGGCGCAGCTCATAACCAGGTGATAGGATAGGCTCTGAAGATTTTGGTGGTCCGAAGCTCACGCTCATGGGTTTAGAATATTGATAAATAGGAGTGAAATCCATGCTAAACGAAAAAGTAAAAGACAAAAGGTTAAGCTAGGCTTGTAGTTAATTCAGCAACTGTTTCCCCGGCAACGGCGCCAGAAAGCTTGTTGGTATGTTTAACGCACACAGATAAATCTACAAGCACACGGATACCGCTATAGCTTTCACCTGAAAGTATTCCAAGTATCGTATCCATAGGGAAACATGTGAGACTAACTACTATCTAACTTAACAAGGGGGTAATGATTAGGTTAAAGTCTAATCTAATCTATGAGTGGCAACAAGGTTAGGATAAACAGGAGCGTAGAGAGGATAACTAAGGGTCTCTAGTTCTGACCTAGGTAAGCTTATGTCTTCTACTGTTAAACTGGGGACATTACTTAAGGGAAGACACCAACAGAGGATGCTTTCCTTAGCAACCGGGTCCTATGTGCACCTACAGACAGGAGGAGGACTACAAAGAATCAACGATGCTATATAGTACAATGCTATATAGTACTGATGTCACACACATGATCTACCACCGATCCAGAATGTAGGGGCATCCACGATTAACCTAAGTCTAAGCACCAGGCTTGCACCTACGATTAATACTTTACTCCCTCTAGTGTAGGAATAAAGCACTCAAAAGAGTCGTGAACCTAAAGAACAATATAAATAAAATGCTTACTTGAATCAGAAGTTGATTACCAGAGATATCTCAAAGGCAAGCTCAAGTAGAACTTGGATCCGCCAAGGTACAAGCCGTAGAGAGAGCACCGATAGGCCGACATCTCCTCCAAACTCTTCCGTCACTCTCTATCTCACTATTTCTATTTATAAGACTAAATCCTATGGAGGACTAATCTTCTCTTGATAGCTAGCTCTGATCCTCATAGGGAGAATATGAATTAGAGTTTCAGGATCTCCTGAGGGAGGGGGGTAGGGGCTGGATTATATAGTCCTAAGGGAGCAACATGAGCCCTTGGATCAAACTGACTTAAGCAATGACCTAGAAGCATCCTCAAAGGCGGTGGGAAACCGACCCTCGAAGATGGCTGACAGGTGGGCCTAGGGGAGGCCGACCGACTTGGCTGGCCCCACCTGGCGGTGTCTCGCCCTATGCTTCGGTGACATGGCTTCTGGATCGTTCTAGAGCCTTCCCACGTAGGTGCCACGGTGGAAATCCGTATTTTCCTTTGACGTTTAAGTCCTCCTTGGCGGTTTTCAGATTAAACCCTGCTGGAAAAATAGATTCACCAAAACTTGTGGAATTTGTTAGTTTAGACCCCTAGACCTTTGTTGGTGATTATATTTATGCCCTTATACATGTTTAATTGACGGTTTATATTGGTTGTTAACTACCGTGAACAGTCATGATCCACAAAAACGATAGTTATCATCACCTGACGGAAGATCGAGATTCACATATCCATCACCCTCCACCATCTCCTTGGCACCCAGCTCATGTAGGGACCTGAAATTGAGGTGTCCATGCCTTGCATGCCAAAGCCACACCTCCTCATCCATCTTGGTCATCAGGAAAACGGGCGAGGTCAAGTTCACCTTCATAATGTACAGGCTATTTCTCCTCGCTGCCCGGATCAGAACGCCCCGTTGCTGGTTCATAGCCTGATGGCGCTCGAACCCCTTCAGGACGCCATCATCAATCTCGATCCAACATCCCAATTCCTCCAACTAACCAAGACTGACAATATTGCATTTGAGGGACGAGATGTAGTATACCTCGGTGAGTACGTAGTGATCTTGGTTCTTTCCGACGATCGTCACAACACCAATCCTGTGAATTTCCACCATGGACCTATCTCCAAAGCGCACGACACCATGCACTGACTCGCCAAGGCTCGCCAATGACTCCCGGCACCCTGTCATGTGGTTTGTGGCACCGATGTCCAGCACCCACACCCCGTCGTCGCATTCCGTCGGGAACACGTGTTCCTGATTTAGGAACACCCGCTATGCGCACGCAGTCAGAGTCCACATCAGATTGTAGACCTACGCCACCATGAGCACAGACTGTTCGGTGTCAGTGTTGACATCGTGAGCAGCCTCCTGCCGCTCCTCCTTCGGTGCCTTCGTCTTGCACTCCTTCGCGAAGTGCCCATATATGCCACACTTGGTGCACTTGCCTTTCCGTCGCGGAGTGCCCATCGACGTGAGCTTCACACCAGAGTCACGCACTTCGCTGCCACCTCATGCCCCGGACCTCTCCTTCTTGACGTAGTGGCCGCCGCCCTTGCTACCCGACGATGATGATGCGTCCGGTAGCATATGGCTCTTGTTCCTGGCTAGCCAATCTTCCTTCATCAACAGGAGGCGACCAACTTTGTCTGTGATCTGCTCCACCGAGGGCTCAAACCGATCTTCTGCCGCACGGAGGCAACCCACAAGCTCCTCGATCGTCAGCGTCTTCATGTCACAAAACATCTCGATCGTGATCGCCACTTGATTGTAGCATGACGGCACGACTCAGAGGAACTTCTTCACGACATGTGATTCATCGTTCTCCCCGAGGCCACATAGATCCATGGTTACCTTGGTGATGCGGATGGTGAAATCATCAATGGTCTCTACTAGCTTGAACGAGATTGACTCAAACTCTACCAACAACTTCTGGGCGTTCACATCCTTGACGTGATCTGCTCCAAGACGCATCGTCTTGACCAAATCCCATGCCTCCTTCATCGTCTTCTTGTTCAGGAGCATGGAATGCATCTCCTTTGGCATGCCCCGGATCATGGTTCCAAGAGCCAGCCGATCCCGGCGCCTCTCCACCTTGTTAGATTCAATTGTGTCCCAGAGAAACATACCCTCGAGATTGCACTACATGTGCGAGGACCATTCCTGGTAATTGGTACGGGGCCACACCAGGTTTCCGGTTGCCTGGTTGAACGCCCGCTCCATCACCTCCTTATCCTTGTCGCTCTGCTCACCCATGTCGGCGACACTAGGGTTCACGCCTCCTTCTTCTTCAAAACGATGGACTGAACCACCCGGTTTCCTCTATGACACCTCCCCGCCACCAAACACCTCCAACTCTGGCAAGCCTTGGCTCCGATACCACTTGTTTGAAATAGGCGGTGCTCTGGACCCAGAACGTGACGCCGGCGACAACACGGTGGCCATGACGAGAGTGAGTAGATGGAACACACACACACACACACCAGAATAGGATCTTGGAGCTGCCAAATGTTGTAGCTTTTTGGTTTTCTTTGTTGCCTATTTGTTACAATGCCACCCTGGGATCTTGGAACAAACCTCCGAGTCCCCCACGCCACGCCGTATGCTAGATGCTATGCCGTTTCACCGTGATGCGCACCACGTGCTGCAACATATGCCATGGCGCTGACAGACCGACCTGACCAGGCTATGTCATGGACCAAGCACGCCACTAGCCACGCGCTACTTGCTAGCCTAGCTAATGCAGATGAATGAACAAAGTGTTTACATGATAACGATGCAACAATTTAGCTAACACTTCCTCTCCTTATGGCACAAGAAAAGAAGGCCGAGAATAGAGAAGAGAAGGGGAGAAATTAGGTTTTGCCTGTAGATCGCCGCCATATTCATTCCTCACCTAAAACAGGTTTGACATCTTGTTACCTTCTTGTTTTCCCTCGATCCCATGCCTTCCGTCGCTGTTCTTGATGGTGTTGCTATGGGTCGAGTAGATTAGGACGACATGGGGCCTAGCGCGGCGAGGATCGCCACGAGGGAAAAGGTGGGGGAAATCATAACGTGTCTTCATTACTTGCTGTTGGGGTAAGAACTCTCTTTGCCCTATTGTTTTTGTGAGGAATCCATGATAGACTTTAGCGTTTTTCATCAATTGCTTGATGGGGTTAGGATTCTAATCCTGTAATTAAGCTCTGCTATTTATTTCAGATTGTGTAGTTGTTTAAGACCTTTTTTTATGTTCCCAAAAATCATGAAAAATTATATTTGAGTAGTAGACATCAATAACTTTCTTTTGGTATAGAGATCATTTTTGTAGCTGTTTTGGTTTGGGAGATATAATCATTCTTTTGTGATGCATTTGTGCTGTCAGACTTCTGGACAGTTTTAGATGCGTTCCTTTTTACAATATCTTAAGTCCATAATTTCGATGAATGGTCTAAATTAAAGTTGTAATAAATTTTGTAAGATTTCCAAATCGGTAAACTTCATAAATTTTGGATCATTATATCTCCAAATTGATTGGAATTACTTGGACTCCGACTTACTGCTCTCAACTTCATTTTTATTTGTAGCAGCACTTTGCTCGACTTTTATGTATCGTGGATTGAACCCGATTCTCAATGACACTAGACTCTTTGATTTCTTCAATCAGGACCTTCATAGGGCCAATTATAAGATACTTTTGTTTGATGCCCTCCATAGGTGCAGCAGGAACCTCCTTCTTAGGCATCACTACCGGACTCCTTGAGTTTGCCGAGTGTCCGAAACACTCGGCAAAATACCTAAAACACTCGGCAAATTGTTTGTCGAGTGTAACACTCGGTGAACAACACTCGCCATAAACAGTTCCGGCAAAGCCAACTTTGCCGAGTGCCATTTATCGGGCACTCGGCAACCATTTTGTCGTGTGCAGTTTAGCTCTCGGCGAAAAGAAACAGTCATAACGTAAGACCCGCCGTTAACAGCAACTTCGCCGAGTGTCAAACGGCAAGGCACTCGGCAAATTTTTTTTAAATATTTTTGGTTTTTAGAATTCCTTTTTCGCCGAGTGTTGCACTCGGCACATGATAAACATATGCCAAGTGTGGCGCTGTAAGACACTCGGCAAACATTTTTCAAACAGTATTTGTTTTTTAAAAAAAATTCTTTTCGCCGAGTGTTGCACTCGGCAAATGATAAACATATGCCGAGTGTGGCACTGTAAGACACTCGGCAAACATTTTTCAAACAGTATTTGGTATTTTTTTAAAAAATCTTTCGCCGAGTGTCTTGGTGAGAACACTCGGCAAATTGTGTTTGCTTTGCCGAGTGTCTTGGTCATAACACTCGGCAAAGCCTCAGAAATCTGATTTTTTTTTTGGTTTTGCATTACATTTCACAGCACATATATATATCACAGCACAGATATATTACACAACACATATATCACATATATATATCATCTCCACATATCACATACATCACAATAATCCACAATGGTACACAAATGTCATACCACAATACCAACATAAGGTTCGAGTTTAAAGTATCCACCACAAGTGCATTACAAGCATAAGTGCAACACAAGGAATAAGTTCAACACATGAAAAGAAGCAAATCACCAATTAAACCACGGCGACTGCTGCGGTGGGTCATGAGGTACATCGTTTGATGCCGCCGATTGACCTTGCACAAAGAATAGATAAGATTAATTCTCTGGAGAAGCTAATCGATTGGTTAAACTTCCATTAACCAACCATGTCAGTTGAATCGCTTGACACCAAGTACAATATACAATCAGGCACTCCGGCCATACTCCATGATGCTCGTGCAATGAGATTGTCTCTAGTAGATGGTGGTTTCTACACATAAAGATGGTGGATACTTTACTATGTAATCAGGCACTCCGGCCATACACATAAAGATGGGCAACACGTAATCAGGCACTCCGGCCATACACATAAAGATGGGCTACCCAACTTTCCTATAGCACCAGTCTGGGCTCAGTTTCAAAAGGTTTGGTACCATGACTAATCATTAGTCACTCATGTAAAGTTTCAGTACTAGACCATTAAAACTGTTTGACAAAGAAAAAACCATATAAAGGCTTATAAATTGGCAACTAATATTCAGGACTCCATGTAAACTAACCAAGATAGATCTGTTCACTGACCAGTGTGCCTGAACATATCATTGGAGGCACCTGTACAAAGAGCAACTAAAAGATCTCAACATGGAAGGAAAGCTGGTACCATGGAAGCACTCCCGGAGAAGAATATTTTAATGGCGACACAAGACAGATGTGACGTAAAGGCTCCAATAGCAAACCTATTAAAGCCTGAATGTTCTTTTATGGTCTCAAACTATGTTCATTTTATAAAATCTGTAGGCTGTCTAGACTTACTTTACCAAGAGAGCTTAACTGCAGCTGTCTGAACTCTCATTCTAAAGTAGTAACTAGGTAAAAGTATTAATTTTCTGTTAGCTAAGAAAGTTTGCCCCCAACCGAGAGACATACTACGTAGTAGACAAAGTCACAAAGCACAATGCCAGAAGGAAAATTAGTTTTGCAGTCGCAAATAAATGCAGTTGAAATATCAGTTATATACAAAACATTTTTTTCCTTCTTCCATAACTGAACCCAGGATCTAATTTTTGTTAGTCACCGGATTCAAGTACCCCTAAATGATGAGTCCCTCATATATGTTATTGTTTGGGCCTTTGCTCAGAGTCACCGGATTTCTATATTTCCCCTTCCTATCGATCAATATGCACCCCAAATCACAGTAGAGCACCCGGCACTTAGATGTGTTAGCAGCATATCATCAGATCTGATCTCAACCGCTGCAAGAGAGATTCCTGTTTACTGACGATATTAAAAAATGGATTCACAAGGTCCTCAGCACAGGGTGGGAAAAAAACAACGGTAGACAGGAACATGCAACATGATCATGATCGGTATAAACTAATCCAGCCATCCAGACCAAGCGTCTACTTGCACTGAAACTACTAAGTGGCCTTAGATCTGAAAGGAGAAGCGAACAAACAACTGCACCAAGAATATGGTTTTCTTGCTCCCGTTCCATGTCCATAGCAGTGACAAGTCTAGTTTCCCATGCGCTGCTGATGCTTGGCTGCGTGCCCAAGGCAGATCCGATCATTGCAACTGTGCGACCCACTTGCGTGTTTGCTCCAGATAAAAAACGGAAGGAGAGACAAACTGATCTGGTTTCCATCTTCCAATCCTCCTTCGCCGATGCAGGTGACAGCGCTGGAAGCTCACTTTCCCAGCCCAACTGCCCAGTAGAAGTTACAGAACCAACAGATGGGTGACGAACATGCCTGACACAGGTGCAAATGAATAAGAATAACAGCGCTAGCTCCAGCCTCGCTCTACTTGCCATACGTAGCGCACTGCACCACGACGTGCGTGCCGTGCACTCCCGTGAATTCCGGCCGTTGCGTTGCGGGCAGCTAGCTCGCAGCGGCACATGGACGGGGCTCGATCTGTGCCTGTGCTCACTGTTCACTGTCCATGGTCCACGTTTTCTACATGAGCTTGTAGTTTAGTCTACACACACTGCCGGATCGATAACGATCCATTGGCTACAGATTACACACATATCTGGATGGACGCACTTCTAGGCAGGTGTGAACAATCTGTAACTCTGTAAGGCACTTCTAGGCAGACTCCGGCCATACTCCGTGAGGAGATCCATTTAATTCATGGATTTGACCTCTAAATTCAGTTTTTTGGATCTGGATTACGTGGAGGCAAGACGTTTGGCAGGATTCCGATAAAAAAAACGTTTGGCTGGATTTTATGAACTGAAACTGTTTTTAAAATCTAGAGCTGCTGAAGCTCTTCGGCATAGGCCGTAACCCAGACCTACTCCAGATCCCCCAGTGGTTCCATCAGTACACGCAACCAAATTAAGCGAGACGAGGTAGAAGCCTAGAAGGCCAAACGAAGACAAATGTATGCAGGTAGCAGGCGATAAAGCTCCAATCCTTAATTAGTGTGACTTTTCAAGTTTTATCTACAGTCGTACATGTTAAGAGGTAAAGCAGCTAGAGCTGCTGCAGCGAACACGGAACAACACCCAAACCAAGGTAAGCAAAAGGGGCAGAAGTGAACTAGCAGCTCTGCAAACTGCAAATTAACAAGTTGAGTAACCTTTGATGCAAATCACCCCATCATTCCCATTGCTAAAGACTAATCGGCACTGAGGATAGATGTACTCACAGGAGTGTCTTCAGGAGAACGAGGAGGAAGGAAT